CCTCGCTTCATGAAAGCTCTCAAACCAGAGAGGCGAGAGAGTCTGACAGCAAGACAGAAGTCATCGTGTTCGGTAACCTAATCGCAGAAATGGTGTGAGTCATTTTGTCCATATTGCATTCCTTAGAAGCAAGTCACAGAATGGATCCCGTCTCCACTAAAGAAATACCAGCAGGTGGGGGTCATCTTAGAAATCTGTCTGCCACACACAGGAAGCCACTAGAGGTGTCTGAGCAGGGAGGTGACATGATGTACCTCATCAAAGGATCACTTTGGCTTCCTTGAGCATTAGGAGTATGAGTGGGGGTTGGGCAAGAGAGGACCCAGGACGGCCAGTGGGGACGTCAGTGAAAGATGATGCCTGTTGGACTAAGGAGGTCACCGTGGAGACGCAAACGAGAGCCGAGGGGCCTTGCCAGTGGACAGGCGGTAGGGACCAGCGAAGAGGAAACGATGACTCCTGAGCTGGCTGTGACCTGTGCCTCCTGCCTGGGGATGACCGTACCTTTGACTCTCGGGGTGTGTGCTGTGTGATTTTCTCCTTCTGGGAGAGACAGGTTGATACTATCCCCGACCTCCTCCAGCCCTATCCAAGGTCACACATTTGCTGGCTGGCTGGCCAGCATTAGGAGCACCAGCCGTGAGCAGAGAGCAGATGTCTCCTTGTGCCGGGCTGAGGGACTGACCCCATGTCCTCAGTCTTATTAGCCTGCCCACGCTCAGACCAACCAAGCCAGAGAGCTGGGGGCGGGGCGGGAGACGCTCACCTATAACTGTGCTCACAAGGTCGGGGAAGACCCGAGGGGCGTCTGTGTCCGTCTCTGTCTCAGCTGGGCTGCAGTTGGAGTGGTAATATGTTTCAGGGCAGGAAGGGTTACTAAAACTGACCCTCGAATGCTAGGGCATCCCTAACAAATAAACTCCAGAGAGACACTTCAATTCTTTACCTGAAGCATCCACCTCCATAAAATCTTTACCTCTACTGGTGAAAAGACGGAGAACCTGATAATTATGTGGCTGTCATTTATCGTCTGTCTCACTGCCAAGCGCTTGACAGGTGTCACTTAGTCCTCCGAACACCAGTGGCGTAGGCACTGGTGTATCTCACTTCACAGAGGGGAAACTGAGGCTGGCGGAGCCAGGGAACCGGAGGGCCAGGATTTGACCCAAGCCGGTGTTCCTCACCACCACCACCACCACCACCACCACCACCACCACCACCCCGCCTCCCATTGAGGCCGGCTGGAGGTTCACCTCCAGGTTCCAGGAGTGCAAGGAGGGGTCCAGGCTTCCAGAGAGGAGCAGAGCCCAGGCATGTTTTTCTGCTGCCCTCAATCCAGTCGGGAGGAGACAAGCTGAGCAAGGCTTCAGCATCACTGGCGCAGGCGGCAGCGGGCTCCCCCTGGTGGTGGCGGTGAGGGAGAGCAGTGGGTGGGAACAAGGAGGAGCTTGGGGTTGGCCAGTTGGGATGGGGGGACAGAGACACAGCGGAGTCCAGGGAGTGCAGAGCTGGGTCTATCAAGTCAAGCTGCCCCAGGCAGAGGGCCTGAGTGCATCTCCTTTCCTAGGCCCGCGGGGTGTCCTCAGGGTTCCTACCTAGGTCAGCCAGGTGTTCGTCACAGGTGATACACAACAGTAACCCAAATGACATCACCAGACACCAACCATACTCTTCACTCCTGCACCTACCATGCTGGCATCATCTCGTTTACAACATAGGGCCTAGAATTTTGGCTAATTTAGAGGTCAGACTGGCAACCAAATAAGAAAATCTCATGACTGGATTGTTTTTTATTACAGGAGCCAGGCCCCACAAGGGGGATTTCCTGGGTACCACTGTTCACATAGCTCCTCAAAGCCTCACGGGGAGTCCGACATGGGCCACTTAAGACGGGACAGGAAGTGCTCTGTAGCTAGGGGAGCACAGAGCAGGGGTGAGTTCAGCTGGGCCAGCGGGGGAAGGCTGATGTCAGCTTTGGAAACACCAGGATACCTTGGGTATTTGCCACACCTGTTCTCAGCCTCTTGCCTGTGAATCACAAACTGTATTGACCCTGAGGATAAACACAGAAGCGGAACTGACACGCTGAGCCTCTGAAGGTCTCTCCAGTCACCTGCAATGCTTCTTCGCAGGCGGAAGAGGTCCCTTCCTGGGGAGGGAGCAGGGAGAGCAGCTGGGGCTCAGGATGCCTGGGTTCTATTTCCAGCAGCGATCACTGGCTCACCGGCGACCTTGCTGAGGTCGCAGCTGTGCTTTCCTTGCTAGGGGAGGAAAATCAGAGGTGGCAAAGCTCACATTTTCCCAAGGGATGGGAATCCTGGAAGATGGGGTCCTCCCTGCTCCCCATGCCTGGTCCTGCTGATATTAATGAAAATGCTTACATTGGAATTCAAAGGACTTTGAGGGAACGCTCAAAGCAAGAAGGACTTCCTGCCATAGCAAGACTTATGGCCACCTCTGTACGTGGTGTATTCCAAGCGTTTTTCAGATCACGTTCCATAGCGCCCTTTCCCCACGGGGGCCGCATGCTGTCCGTGGAAGGGGAGAGAGAAGGTATTTTCTCTCTAGTTTCAAGATGAGGAAATCAAGGCCAAGAGTGGTATTTTTCAACATTTTTATTACCAGGGATCCCGTTTATGATTTGACTACCATGCATCCCCCTGTTTGCAAGCCCTTGCTAAATACTCTGCATTTATTAAGCAGACGTTCAGCTCTGTTTTCATTCATCAGAGTCACCCCAGAGTGCCTGTTTCTGCTCAGCACAAAAGAACGAGCTACCACCGAGTTCACTGTCCAGAATTGCAGCATTTACTCTGGGTGACTTTCTCATTTTTTGAAATCCTGAAGAGTTTATCTTCAAGGGGCCCAGGGACACCAGGCTGGGAAGTATTCCCAGAGAGGTCCAGTGGCCCAGGAAAGGCACTGTGGCTAGTGGTGGGGCCAGGACTAGGTCCAGGGGCCTGACTCCCAGGCCAGGGCTTCAGCCAAGCAGACCACTGGGCAGGGCTGTGCACAGACACACAGGCACAGGGCACACACACGCAAGATGACAGCTCAACCAAGTGCAGGTGGCCTGAAGCAACGGTGCTGAGAGCTGCCCCCCGCCCTCCCTGGTAATAAACAGGCTCCTCTAATACTGTAGTGAGCATCTGAAAGCAAGCCTAAGAAGAGAAAGGTGGGGGGCATACAGATTATTCCAGGGTGTTCCTGGAGAGTTGCATGAGGACCCGTTTATTCTGCCACCCACTCGTGCTTGGTCTGACTCCACCTTCAGGCATCATTATGCAGCTGGGCCTCTCACCCACTGGGGGCATTCAGACCCTGCTCCAGCACCTGCCTCTTCAAGAGGATGAGACCAGAGCGGGGGCTGAGCCCCTGCAGCTGAGGGAGACAAAGGCAAAGTAGGGACCCTGGGAGAGCAGGGACACGGGCGCCTCAGGAGGTCTGGCTTGGGGGCCTGGTGAATAAGCAGGGAAGGCTCTGCCAGACCCCAAGCGCCTCCGGGCTCCACCCCCTCTCCACCCCCTCCCCAGGCTCCTGCAAACTCTTCATCTGTGGAGCCCCTGGCTCAGAGCCAGAGGCTCAGGCTTTTGATCCGCAGAAGGCATGGAGACTCCGTGTACCTTTGGGGAAAGGCTGGGGCCAGCGTTGTGGTTTTAGAATCTGAGCCCCTGCCAATGCTCGCCAGGGCCAGGGGCCAGGGCAGGGGCTGTGGGGGCCTGTTGCCCAACAGCTGTTCCCTGGTTATTTTAGTCCAGCTTATCAATTCCAGGGTATTTGGACCAAAATAGTCAGCAGTTTGGTGGCTCTGTGGCGACCTCTCCTTAGAAAAGTGTCTTAAATAAAGGGTGGGAGGAGTTGTTTGGTTTAGGGGACAGTGAAGAAGGACATCTTGTGTCTGAAGCAAAAGTGACCACCTTGCTGTCCTTTCGGCCTCAACACTTCCCTGACCTTGTTCCCTCTGCCACCAAAGCTGCAATGGGGGGTGGGGGGGGCAGTGAAAGGTAAGAGATCATTTTATAACTTGGTTTCTTGACTCCACTGTCCTCCCCCATAGCTGGTGACATACATATGACTTATCCCATTTTACGGATGGGGCGCAGGGGACCAGAGAGGTGGAGGCAATGGTATTGAGGCCGCACAACGTGGACCAGGCCTCCCGACCCCAGGCCAAAGCGCCCGTGGGCTGGGCCTGCGCTGCCCAGCAGCAGATCCGTGCAGGGCGCTGCCAGTTCCTGACATGCTCCAACCAACATGGCAAGCGCTGACTGGCCTGGGACTTCCTTCGGGCCACAGCGGGGGTCCTGGCAGCTACCAGCCTCAGCGACCCCGCCAGCCTCACTGAAATTCGGGGGTGGGGAGAAGACCAGCCATCCCACTGGCACCCTGCCATGGGCAGCCCTGGGCGCCGCCCCGAGAGCCTGCCGGGATTGCCCCGGGCGCAGAGCCACAGTGACCCAGGTTGCGCTCCCTTTGGCAACGGGGGTGGTGCGCAGGGAGCGTGCTTTGGCACACGGCGGGCGTGTGGGTACCGGACACAGGGCCCTGAGAACCTCCCGGGTGCGGGATGTGCTCGGTAACCGGACTTGGTCGTCGGGTGCTCCCGGCCGAGTGCGCACGACAGATCTTATTACTGGATCCTGGAAGTATGTTGTTGGGGTGGGACCGCATTTGGCAACCGCCACTTGGCCACCCTTATCGAGCCCGTCTCTCCCCTGGAATTTAACAGCGGGTTAACTTCCTGTCCTGGTAAATCCTTCGCGAGTTCCCCGCCTCTCCCTCCGGCTCTCCCCGCTGGGTCCCCTCTACCCCGGGCTCCCCTAGTCCGCCCGCGCTGCGTTCCCTCACCCCTGCGCGCCTGGGCGCACGCCCTCCCCGCCCCGGCCGCCTTCCGGCTCCCAGCGCCGGGCGCCGGGCGCCGGGCTCCGCGCGCAGCCCCGCGCCCGGGCTCGTGCCGAGAGCTGCGCCCGCGCTGCCGAGGCTGGCGCGGGTCCCCGGCCATGCGCCTCCGCACCGCCCCCCGCGCCCCTGCGGGCGCCGCCGCCGCGCTCGGGCTCTGCAGCCTCCTGCTGCTGCTCGGGCCCGGGCACGCGTGCCCCGCGGGCTGCGCCTGCACTGACCCGCACACCGTGGACTGCCGCGACCGCGGGCTGCCCAGCGTGCCCGACCCCTTCCCCCTGGACGTGCGCAAGCTGCTGGTGGCCGGCAACTGCATCCAGCGCATCCCCGAGGACTTCTTCATCTTCTACGGCGACCTGATCTACCTGGACTTCAGGAACAACTCGCTGCGCTCGCTGGAGGAGGGCACGTTCAGCGGCTCGGCCAAGCTCGCCTTCCTGGACCTCAGCTACAACAACCTGACCCAGCTGGGCGCCGGCGCCTTCCGTTCAGCCGGGAGGCTGGTTAGACTGAGCCTGGCCAACAACCACCTGGCGGGCGTGCACGAGGCCGCCTTCGAGACCCTGGAGTCGCTGCAGGTGCTGGAACTCAACGACAACAACCTGCGCAGCCTCAAGGTGGCCGCCCTGGCCGCGCTGCCCGCGCTGCGCACCCTGCGCCTGGACGGGAACCCCTGGCTCTGCGACTGCGAGTTTGCGCACCTCTTCGCCTGGATCCAGGAGAACGCGTCCAAGCTGCCCAAGGGTAGGCCTGGCGGCCGGGGCCGAGCTGGGGGAGGGGGAGGGGCAGGGAGCGGCCGCCACAGCCCCGGAGGCGAAGGCCTCGGGTGGAGCCTGGAAGCGGTTTGGGTGCTCCTGGCGGCTGCCCTGGATGCGACTTGCTCCCCCGTGTAACCTGCGCACTTTCCTAGCCTGAACTTTTCCCGGGACTCTGGAAAAGGGGGGCGGGGAAAGGGGGGCGGGGTGGGAGGGACACATCTGCGTTCTCCGGAGTTTCCGAGCCCCGATGCTATACTTCCCCGGCTTTCTACAACAACCCACTTTTCAAAGTTAGGGGCCTGCCATTTCTCCCTCACCCTGGGTCCTAGTACCGGTGGGTTATTTAACAACCACTTCCACGGAATTCGCCCTCCCGTGTAGGGAACAGCTGAGCCCAGTGTCACTCACTCTCGCTACCCTGAACGTGGAGAGAGAGCCAGCCGGGTCTAAGAACCCCCCAGCAGCCTCCAGGGCCTGGGCAAGTCAGGTGGCAGTTTCTTAGCTCCCAGCTTGCTCCTCTGTCCGAAGAGGGTGAGGATATTCCTGGTGAGGAATCATGGCAGCTCCTAAGAGCCGGTGATGCGGTGAAGATTTGTAGTTCTGTGGCTTAGCTCCGTGTGAAACTGCTGAACAGAAATGTGGGCTGAGCCCTGTCCAGTTTGGTTCAGTGAGTAGAGCACTGGCCTGTGGACCGGAGGGTCATGGGTTCGATTCCCACTCAATGTCATGTACCCGGGTTACAGGTTCAATCCCTGGCCCTGGTCAGGGTCATGTGGGAGGCAACCAATCAATGTGACACATGGATGCTTCTCTCTCTCTCTCTCTCCCCTCTTCCCCCCTCAGTCCCTTCCATTCTAAAAATCAATGGGAAAATATCCTCAGGTGAGGGTTAACAACGAAAAATGAGGGCTGGTGTACCTTCAGCTTCCTTGTGCACTTTTCCCGTGGTGACATGGAGGTGCAAACCCAGCTGCACAAAGGGACGTGGGGCACAGCAGTTAAGGAGGAAGCAAAGTCCGAGCTGAGAAGGAGAGGACGTCAGCATCCGGAGGGATGACCCTGGACAGGGAGCAGCACAGTGTCCTCCCCTCGGGGACCCCAGCCTTCCACTAGTGAGCGTGGGACCCGGCAGCAGCTTCCAGACTTCCTGCACCTTGTCCCCGAGGCTTTGGCAGAGCTGTGTGGCACATCATCAAAGGTGACAAAATGTCGACTTAGCTTCCGTAGATCCTTCTTTCCATATACTGAGAATTCAGGAGGCCGCTCATCAGTGCCCTGGATTCCTGTGCTCACTTATGCATCCCGTAGTTGACCAAGCACAAACCCCAGGCAGGGCCAGTCACTCCTCGGCAGATGCTGGCCCTTTAAGCCAAGCTGGCTCTCACATAAACAAGTCGCCAAAAGATCTGACCTGCAAGTTCATTCACCGGCCTGGCTCCTCGGGCCTTCCCCACCACAAGTCGCCCTGCAGATAGGAGGACCCCTCTGTGGAGGGGCTGTGCCTCAGGTCTGATGGCGCCTGACTGTGGGTTCAGCCTCTGTGCAGCATGGGTGACTGTGACCTTCAACAGGCCGCCCATCCTGTCTGGCCCCAGTGTGCTCGCCCCCGAAGTACTTTGGTGACCTCTGAGGTCTCCACAGAGCCCTTGATTTGGAGTCTGAAGAATAGCCTTGAGTCCTGGCTTCAAAGCCGGTGACTGCCCTGGCCAGTTTGGCTCAGCAGTTAGAGTGTCGGTCTGTGGCACAAAGAGTCACGAGTTCGAGTCTGGTCAAGGGCATGTACCTCAGTGGTGTTTTGGTCTCGGCCCTGGTTGGGGTTGTGCGGGAGGCAACCAGTTGATGTGTCCCTTTCACATTGATGTCTCTCTCTCTCTCTCTCTCTTTCTCTCTCCTTTCCTCCAACTCTATCTGGAAAAATAAATGGAAAACTATCCTTGGGTGAGGATTTGAAAAAAAAACACACAAAACAAAGAAAACACTGGTGACTCTGGGTGGGTGGGTCACTTAACGTTTTGGTGCCTCATCGTCCCCCTGTGTGAAATTGGCACACAGACTGTTGTCTAGTTGTCTGACCTGGTGATTGTTTTTTTTTTAATCCTCACCCTAGGATATTTTTCCATTTTATCTTCAGATAGAGTGGGAGGGAGGGAGAGAGAGAAACATTGATGTGAAAGGGACATATCGACTGGTTGCCTCCTGCATGAACCCAACCAGGGCCAGGGACCGAACCGAAACCGAGGTATGAACCCTTGACCAGAACTGAGTTCGGGACTCCTTGGTCCATGGGCCAATGCTCTAACGGCTGAGCCAAATAAGCCAGGGCTGACCTGGTGACTTTCAGGATCAAGACCAGATATGTGGGTGGGAAGAAAGAGCAGTATGAATGTAAACTGTCATTTCTCTCAGATGTATGATCCCAGGCAAGTCCCTGACCTCCCCGAGCCTCAGTTTCCCTGCCTCCACCCTCCTGCTGCAGTAACAACCCCACAGTGTTTGCTGTGACATCTGAAGGAGATCCACTCTGTCAGGTTGAAGTCACGCTTAGCGCAGGGAAGGGGCTCAATACTCTCAGGTGTCCCCCTGTCTCCTCCCCTGCAAATGCTCCGGGTGAAGTGGCCCAGAGCCAGGACTCTGGCACGGAGCTGCTGGGTTCAAATCCTGCCTCCGCTTATTACTGGGGTGTGATCGTCAGTACCCCAGTTTCCTCATCTGTAAAAGGAGGCTGATACTAGTACCCACGTCATAGGGTTGTTGAGAGGATTAAAACGCTATGGTGACAGTAAGGACAGTGTCTGACACATAGTAAATGCGAATACGCTTTAGTGCAGCGCTATTCTCCTGTTTTAACCAGAAGGCCCACAGAGTGATGGGAGGGACTTGCCCAGAATACATGGAGGGTTAGAAACAACTTGGGACCAGGCCAGTTTGGCTCAGCGGTTAGAGCGTCGGCCCATGGACCAGAAAGTCCCGGGTTCGGTTCCCGCTAAGGGCACGTACCTCGGTTGCAGATTGTCCCCGGCCCTGGATGGGGATCGTGCCTGTGGCAACCACTCAGTGTGTCTCTTTCGTATCATGTTTCTCTCTCTCTTTCTCTCTCGCTCCTTCCTTTCTATCTAAAGATAAATGCTAAAAATGTCTGTGGGTGAGGACAACTTGAGTACACAGGACATCTGACGCCCAGCTCCTGCACGTCCTCCGCTCAGCTCTGGCCCGAGGAAACCAGGGTCCCGGGGTGCGAGCTCCTGGCCTTTCTAGAGAGGAGCCCTGGCGGATCAGGGCAGGGAATTCAAAGAAAGGAGCAAAGGGGATCCTGTCCTCAGTGACTCCCCCTCTCGGGCCCTGAGGCCAGGGGAAGACAGGCTACTAGTGAGAGAAATGGTAACTGGCAAGAAGTGGGCTGTCTCTCTTCCTCAGAGGTACGTGGGGGTGTTCCCAGAGGAAGCAACCCACACCACACCCTAAGCTAACCCTAACCCTAACCCTAACCCTAACCCTAACCCTAACCCACACCATACCCCTAACCCTAACCCTAACCCTAATCCTAACCCTAACCCTAACCCTAACCCAACCACAGCCTAAGTCTAACCCTAACCCACACCACAACCTTCACCCTAACCCTAACCCTAACCCATACCACACTCTAAGCCTAAACCTAACCAAAGGAAGCAACCCACACCGCGCCATAACCCTAACCCTAACCCTAACCCTAACCCTATCCCTAACCCTGACCCTAACCCTAACCCTAACCCTAATCAAAAGGAAGCAACCCACACCACACCATAACCCTAACCCTAACCCAAATTCTAACCCTAACTGTAATCCTAACCCTAACCCTAACTCTAACCCTAACCCAACCCCAACCCTAACCCCGACCCTGACCCTGTCCCTGACCCTGACCCTGACCCTGACCTGTATCTCAGGAAGGGCTCCTGTGGGTCCCTGGAGGAGGCAGAACAGCTGAAATACCTCTTTCACTTCCCTTTCCAGCCCCAGCCATGTGGCCCCCAGATCTAGGGAAGCGAAGGGAACTAATTCCATGCCCGGCGACCTCGACGTGCAGCTGCAGGAAGGGAGGCCGAGAGGAGCAGGAAAGGGGCAAAATGAAACAGGTCCCCAGGCCATGCCTGGGGTCTGCCAACTCTGGCCCCTGCTTGGAGAAGCTTTACTGTGGAGCCTGAAGCAGCCATTTCGGGGCTCGGCCCCTGCGGGCCAGACCCTGCCACGGGGTCCTCTCGAGGAAGGGGTGTCATGGCACGCAGGGTGCTCACCAGTGACATCACTGGCCTGCCTGCCGGGCCAACTCCCAGCTTTGTGGGGGTCCCTGCCCCCATCTCCTAGCAACCCCACTTTCCTCTTCTGACGTCAGACACTTTGAGAGCCTGGTTGGGTCGGAAGAGCGGGGACTTGTTGTCCTACTGCCGGAGAGACAAAAGCTGATGCTGCCTGGAGGTCACCGGGTCCTTTCTCTCAAGTGACTCCAAGGTGACCCGGTTTCTTTTTCTTTAAAATGGAAATCAGTTTTATTTTCCCAAGTATAAAATAAAGGCTCCAGCCCTGGCTGGTTTGGCTCAGCAGTTAGAGTGTCAGCCTGCAAACCGAAGAGTTGTGGGTTCGATTCCCTGTCAAGGTCACGTACCTTGGTTGCAGGTTTGATCCCAGGCTCCAGTCGGAGTTGTGCAGGAGGCAACCAATCAATGTGTCTCTCGTACTCGACATTCTCTCTCTCTCTCTCTCTCTCTCTCTCTCTCTCTCCCCCCCCCCCCCCCACCCTCCCACTCCATCTAAAAATCAATAGAAAAATATCCTCAGGGAGGACTAAAAAGTAATCATAATAACAGGCTCTATATAGTCTTGGGAACGGTAGAAAAGTGTCATAAAGAAATGACGCCCTGGCCGGTTTGGCTCAGCAGTTAGAGCATCGGCCCACGAACTGGAGAGTCCCAGGTTCGGTTCCCACTAAGGGCACGTACCTCGGTTGCAGTTTGT